GGATCTAAGCAGTCCATTCTGAGGGATCTAAGCACCCCATCCCGAGGGATCTAAGGTCCCCATCCCGAGGGATCTAATGTCCCCATCCCGAGGGATCTAAGCAGTCCATTCTGAGGGATCTAAGCACCCCATCCCGAGGGATCTAATGTCCCCATCCCGAGGGATCTAATGTCCCCATCCCGAGGGATCTAAGCAGTCCACTCTGAGGGATCTAAGACCTCCATCTCAAAGGATCCAAGACCTCCATCCCGGGGGATCTAAGCACCCCATCCCAGGGGATGTGAGACCCCCTTTCTGAGGGATCTAAGGCTCCCATCCAGGGGGATCCACGCAGCGATTAAACTCCAGATTAAGGGACTTTCTCCTCAGGAATGGAAAGGAATGTCATCCCAATCCCTGACACGCTGCTCTCCCCCCCAATCCCTCTCCAGGACCGCCCCGGCTGCGGCTGGCGGACGGGAACTTCAGCTGCTCCGGGTTCCTGGAGCTGCACAAGGGGGGGCTGTGGGGGGCCGTGGCCAGGATGCCCCCGCACATCTGGGCACAGCTGGGCACCCGCATCTGCCGGGACCTGCGCTGCGGCACCGCCGGGCACGGACACCGGGAGCCGGAGCCCGGGACCCACCTGCCGGTGAGGTGGGAAGCGCTGGATCCCTGTGAGAGCCATTCCCTCCTGGAATGCTTCAACAGGACCAGCCCCCGGGGGAAAACTCCTGCCTTCGTCACCTGCTCAGGTGAGAGCACGCTCTCGGAGCATCCAGGCCTTTCTGGGGGGGATATCCCGGGGGAATTCCGGGTTCCCGCCCAGAGCTCCATCCGCCCACTCCTGCTCTTCCTCTCCGGGGTGCGAAGGCAAAACAGGAAATCTCAGTTCCCGGCAGTGCCGGAAGAGGATGAGCCGGGGAGGGAGAGGGGCCACGGCAGTGTCCCAAATTCCAAATCTGAGCAGGGAACCCTGCTCAGATCAGCAGGGGATGATCCATCACCCATGGATCAGCCCCTCTGGGTGCTGCCTGGGAGAGTATTCCATACCTCGGGCATCCCCCAGCCGTGGGCATCTCCCAGACCTGGGCCCCTCCCTGCCCTTTTCCATGGAGATCCAAGGCACGGGGCTCAGAGCAATCCTGCCATCTGCCCCAGCTCGGAAGCCATCCCGTGGGATTCGGGGGTTTGTTGGGCTGTGCCACAGCAGCTGGCAGAGCTTCCATGCTGCATTCCCATGGGAATAGTTCAAAGCTCCTCAGTGCTCGGCTCTGCTTTGGCCCACACACATCCCCCGCTCCCTATGGCATGAGGCGGAATGCCGGGAACATCCCTGTGCCGGGGGAAGGAGCGTGTGCCAGCAGCCAGCCATGAGGCACCCCATGGATCTCATCCCTCTCTGCCCATGGATCCGTGGATCTGATCCCTCTCCATGGGTCTGACTCCTTCCCATGGATCCGACTCCCCTCTCCCCATGGATCTGACCCCTCCCTATGGATCTGACAGACCTGTCCCATTACCCTGAGACCTGTCCTGGAATCCCCAAGATGTCCCATTATCCCAGACCTCTCCCATTGCCCCCAAGGCTGTCCCATTATCCCCAGACCTGTCCCATTATCCCCAAGCCTATCCCATTATCCCCAGACCTGTCCCATTATCCCCAGACCTGTCCCATTATCTCAGACCTGTCCCATTATCTCAGACCTGTCCCATTATCTCCAGACTTGTCCCATTATCCCCGAGCTGTCCCGTTACCCCAAAGCCTATCCCATTATCCCCGAGCCATTCCCGCTCCATCCCCCAGATTCCGAGCCGCGGGTGCAGCGGAGGCTGGGCTCGGGCCCCACTCCCTGCGAGGGGGACATCCAGGTTTTCCACGAGGGCCAGTGGCTGTCCCTGTGTGACAACGGAGCGCGGCGCTCCCAGCGCGGCCGCCAGCTCTGCCGGGAGCTGCGCTGCGGGAATCTCACCTCCAGCGCCGAGATCCGGGAGCCGCCTTCCATGGGAGTCACCTGCGGGATCGACCCCCTGCACCTCTGCCACGGGAACCTCGGGAGACCCCAGAAGTGCTCCTGGACCAGAGTCGTGTGTAAGGCGCCGTTCCGGGGGCGATCCGTGGGGTGCCGGGAGCTGGAATTCCCAGCCCTGTGGAACGGGCAGGGATGGGGGATGCCTTGCCGGGTGGGATTCGGGCTCCCGGTAGGTTTTCATGTACCTGGGCACGAGGGTCTTGGCTGGTGCCATCCGTCCTCTTCCCAGGCCAGGACTCCAAGCCACTTCCCGCTGGCACATCCGCCGGCACCGTCGGGAGCATCTGCCTGGCCCTGCTGCTCTTCCTCGTCCTCCTCGTCGTCTGCGGGCCCCCCGCCTGCAGGAGGCTCCGCAAGAGGAGTAGGTGACCCTCTGGATCCTCAGCCCACACCTGCCCCGCTGTTCCCAGGCTTGTCCCACCATCCCCAGGCCTGTCCCATTGTCCCCAAGCCCGTGCCGTTGTCCACGCACCTGTCCCGTTATTCCCAGGCTTCTCCCATTGTCCCCAGACCAGTCCCATTATCTCCAAGCCTGTCCCATTGTCCCCAAGCTTCTCCCGCTGTTTCTAGACCTCTCCCATTATCCCCACATCTGTCCTATTATTCCCAGACCTCTCCCATTGTCCCCAAACCTGTCCCATTATTCTCAGGCCTGTCCCATTATTCCCAGACCTCTCCCATTGTCCCCAAGCCTGTCCCATTAGTCCCACACCTGTCCCATTGTCCCCAGGCTTGCCCCACTGTTCCCAAGCCTGTCCCATTATTCTCAGGCCTGTCCCATTATTCCAGACCTGTCCCATTATTTCCAAACCTCTCCCATTGTCCCCAAGCCTGTCCCATTATTCCCAGACCTCTCCCATTGTCTCCAAGCCTGCTCCACTGTTCCCAAACCTGTCCCATTATTCTCAGGCCTGTCCCATTATTCCAGACCTGTCCCATTAGTCCCACACCTGTCCCATTGTCCCCAGGCTTGCCCCACTGTTCCCAAGCCTGTCTCATTATTCCAGACCTGTCCTATTATTTCCAAACCTGTCCCATTGTCCCCAAGCCTGTCCCATTATTCCCAGACCTCTCCCATTGTCTCCAAGCCTGCCCCACTGTTCCCAAACCTGTCCCATTGTTCCCACACCTGTCCCATTATTCCCAGGCCTGTCCCATTGTCCCCAAACCTGTCCCATTGTTCCCAAACCTGTCCCATTGTTCCCAGGCCTATCCCACTGTGACCAAGCCTGTCCCATTGTTCCAAACGTGTCCCATTATCCCCAGACCTCTCCCATTATCCCTAAGCCTGTCCCACGTGGAATGGGCACAAAGCAGGGGAGCGGGAAGGGGGATTAAGCTCCAAGTGGACACAAAGGAGCAGCCGGAGGATCCCGAGGGGGAATTATGGTGTGGGAGGGGATTATTTGGGATGACATATGGAGCTGGCGGGGGGGAAGCAGCCGGAGGAAGGATCAGGAAGATCCTTGGAGAGACAATTCCCGCTCTCCGCCCACCTCTGCCTTCCAGTCTCCAAGAAAAAGCAGCGCCAATGGATCGGCCCCACGGGCCTCAACCAGACGGGTGAGGGGGCAGGGATTGGGATCTGGGATTCCTGGGGGTGGGACTGGTGTTCCTGGGGGTGGAATGTGTGCACCTGGGAGCGGATTTTGGGCTCCAGGGGGTGGATTTGGGATTCCTGGGGTGAATTTGGGAATCCTGGGGGTCGATTTGGGGCTCCAGGGGGTGGATTTGGGGCTCCTGAGGGTGGGACTTGGGTTCCTGGGGGTGGATTGGGATTCCTGGGAGTGGGACTGGGACTCCTGGGGGTGGATTTGGGAATTCCTGGCGTTGGATACAACTCACCCGATTTCCCTCAGCCCCATCCCGGGGGTGGGTCCATTCCCTCCAAACCGCCCTTCCAGCCCCCAAATCCCGATCCCGATCCCGATCCCAATCCCACCTTGTGTTCCAGTCTCCTTCCACCGCTCCGGCTCCGCCGCTCCGAGGCCTCGGGGACAGGGAGGGGACAACGACTACGCCGCGGCCCCGCCCAAGAGCTCCCAGCTCTCCGCTTATCCAGGTAAACGCTGGAAGCGGCTCCTCTTCCAGGGATGAAACCCTCCGGGCGCCCCCTGAGCCGCATCCATCCCCTCCACAGCCCTGGAAGGAGCGCTCCGACATTCCAACACTCCGGAGAACTCCTCGGACAGCGACTACGACCTGCGCTCCGCCCGCAGGGTGTGATTCCCAAAGGATTCCCAAAGGATTCCCAGAGGAGCCGTCCCCGTCTCCCGGCTCGGCCGCAGGGGGATCCCAGCGTTCCAGGGAGAAAAGGAGGAGTTCTGGGGGTTCTTAAGGTATTTATATGGATTTAAGAGGCCTTTTGGAGAGGGATCGTCGGCTTTTCCATGGCTCCAAACCGATGGATAAAGGAAAGGGATGCAAGTCCAGGGAGGGTGGGAATACTGGGAAGGAATCCAAGATATTTAATATCCAACAACTGTAATAAAATTGGGATTTTTGTACTAATTACACCTTGTCCTCTTCCTTCCCATATCCCAGAGCAATTCCTTAGAGCACCAGACTCCCGGTCAGGAGGGAAAAGCAGGACAGGAAAACAGGGAAAGGCATTTTTCCCTGTTTTTCTACCCCAAAGAGCCCCAAGCAAACGTGTCCCTGAGGAAAGATAAGCCCGGGGAAAGCAGGAAAAATGGGTTGGGAGATGGTGCTGGGAGAGGAGGAAAGGCTGGAATCCAAAGGGAGCCGGTGTCGGGATGCCGGGAAGGGATAAAGGGATCAACCCACGGGCGGATGCTCCGTCATTCCTGAACGAAATACTGGCTGTGACTCCAGTATGGAATTAATTAATGCAGTTTTATTACTGTAATTGACCCCAGGGATGGAATTGCTTCCATGAAATCCCACAAAGCCCCATCCTAGTCCATTAGTAACCCCTCCTTATAAATAACTTCCAGGGATACGGGCGTAGGATAAAGTGCTGAGCAGAGCAAATCCCATTCCCGGTGTCTGTCGTTCCCTCTGTCTCCAAGTGTTTCCTGAGAAGGGGGATGTGAGGAGCCCGGAAAACCACGCGGGAGGTCGGGAATACCAGAGGCTGGGTGGGAATCACCGACTCCCAGACAATCCCGGAATGGTTGGGTGGGAAGGGATTTTAAGGATCATCCCGTTCCAACCACGTTCCACCAATCCGGGCGGATCCAAGCCCTGTCCGACTTGTCTTTGGACACTTCCAGGGATGGAGTAGCCACAGCTTCCCTGGGAAATCCATTCCAGTGCTTCACCAGCCTCGCAGGGAGGAACTTCTTCCCAATATCCCATTAAACACATCCTCTGGCAGCGGGAAGCCATTCCCCTTTATCCCATCATTCCAGTCCATTATATCCAAGCCCTTTTCCAGTTCTTTTGGAGGCCCCTTAGGCTCTGGAAGGTGCTCCGAGGTCTCCCTGGAGCCTTCTCCTCTCCGGTCCCGCCCTGAGGGGCTGCTCCTTCCTGCTATATCCAGCTGGGAATCACCTGGCTCTGACTCCTGGAACTGTGACTCTCATCCCACGGAATTCCTGGGATTCCACCTGTTCCTCAGTCCCCAGAAAAAGAAGGAAGCAGCAGAGGATGCTCCCGGAAAGTCCTGGATTAGTATCCAGGCCAAGCCGGACGGGAAGGGCTGGGAGGGGGGGGGTATCCAAAGGGTGGGGGAGCCCCGGGATAGGGAGGCTGTGCCGGGATCGGGAAATTCGGGAGAGGGGGCTGGGTGGGATAGGGCGGCCTTCCCGCTCCGGGAGGGATGTAGGGAGAGTATCCCGGCCTGGGAGGAGGAGGAGACGGACTGGGACCAGGATACGGTGCCGGCTGCGGAGGGGCCCGGGATGGAGACCAGGAATAGCCTCCGGAGGCGGCTCTGGGAGCCTGAGCCGACGGATATCCGGGAGCTGGGTAAGGAAAGGGTTGGGAGCCGGGCTGGGAAGCAGCCGGAGCTGCCGGGAAAGGCGCGGGAGGCAGCGCCCCGTGGGCCGGGGGGCCGGGAGGGAGCGCGGGAGCCGGGCTGTAGGGAAGGGGGAAGGGAGGAGATCCCGCTGGGAAGGGCTGTGGGGGATCCCCGGAGCCGGGAACGTGAGGAGCAGGAGGGAGAGCAGGAGGAGGAGGAGGAGGAGGAGCCTGCGAGTCCCGGCCGGATTCCTGGGATCCCTCCGACTTCCTCACGATCTCCTGCAGCTTTTCCACGCGGACCCGGCGCAGGTGGGACAATTTCCTCATGGCGGCAAACTGCTCCAGGAACGTCTCCAAGGGCACTTCGCCCTCCAGGAATTTCTCCGCCATTTTCTGGAAGAGAGGAACAGCCTCGGCTCCATCCCGGGATCCCTCGGCTCCTCTTCCCTCATCCCGCTTCGGGATTTCGGTCTTTCCCGGACTCCACACAAACAAGGAGCGATCGGATTTTTTTGGGGGGAAAAAGACCAGCAAATTCCGGGCATAACCCAGGATTTTTG